CTCATGGCACATGGCACAATTGGTAGTCAGAGGACAACTTGGCAGAGGATTGAGTCTTTCTTTCTCCCAATATGGGTTCTAGGGAGCCATCTCAGGTCGCCAGGCTCAGTGGTAAGCGCCTTTAGCCAATGGGCCATGCCAGGGTGATCGCTAACTTCCTTTGTTCTCAACTTTATTGATGTTTTTTTGAAATGTACTACCTTGTACATCATTTCAGGTATTCAATTTGATGAGTTATGAATTTCTTTGGGAACCTCCCTACCTCCTACTTCACCCCCAGGCGACCCCCAGGGGATCACTTGGCACTGTCTATAATTTTACATACATGGGATGGAGTATAGTTGGTTCTCTCTGTCTCTGCCTGACTCCTTCTAGTCTTCATGCTGGTCTTAATATTCATCTGTGTTACTGCGCTGAAGGTAACAGTAGAAGTCATGTTCAGCCAGGTATTAACTGGGTGACTTTGGGGAAATCGCCTTCCTTGCCTCAGAGAGAAAACAATTTCTACCTTGCACAGTTGAGAAGATAAAAATGGATCTATGCGAGTAAACAAGAAGCGTACTTTAGTTCCTGGTACCCACTGGGCACTTGATAAATGCGAGTTATTTTTGAATCTATGTTTGGGGTGGGAATGGAGGAGGCCGGCTTGCCAGGCATGCGATGGGGGAGGACTTGTTTAGACGAATCTGATTCATGGCTCCATTTAACTACTTGTTAAACATCTCGCTTGTGCACCTCAAATCCCCACACACGCCAACCTCACCAGGAAATTTTTCTTCAGTGAGCTCTGGGGACATGGAAGTTTGTAGCCATGAAAGTCCTGCCAATTTGTGGAAAAAACCAAAATCCCACTAGGCTGCTTTGAAGATCGAAAAGGCGTATTCCTCCTTTTCCTCCGTCACCCTCCCTGAGTCCCAGCCTGACTGGCTGGGTTTGCACAAACGGGAAGAAAGCCCCTGGTCTGGGGATGAAGAGGACTCCAGAAGGTTCCTGGCCAGAGAAAGCCAGAGGGTGACGTTTCTGTACTACTAGTCCCAGAGCGGCCTGCGTTGGGTACTGGCAGTCAAGCTGAGGAGTTTCTCAGTGAAGTGGAGAAGGAGCCATGCTGCTCAGCCCTTGCCCAGGGCCAACGGCCACCACAGACCTGCAAGGGTCTGCTGCAGACATGTTGGCTTTGAAACAGAGGATTGCAACTTCCCGTGTCTTCACGCTGCTGGCTAGTAACTGCCTTTTTCTGAGTGTGAAGATGCAGTAGTCAGAGGGAAAGAGAAAGAAAGAAAGAAAGAAAGAGAGAAAGAAAGAAAGAAAGAAAGACAGACACAAAAAGCCCAACAACCACAAAGAGGACTGGAGAGCAAAAGGTGGCGGGGTGGCGAGAGGGTTGGTCATCTGTTCGGGTATAGCTGAAAAACACAATGAAGTAAAAAGCCTTCTTGGTCCGTGTGCCGCTCTTCCTTTCTTCTCCAGGGTTTGAAGTGGGGAGGGAGGGATGGGAAGAAAGCAGGAAGAGGACAACTGGCCTGGCTTGGGCAGAAGCATCATGGCACCTTTGGGTTTGGGGAGGGGAAAGAGCCTCCTTGGATCACCCTCTTACTAGCCAACAACTTCCTTCCACAAGAGGCTGCGTGATGTTGCTGACAGTTGCTTAATCGATTAATTAGTTAACTTTAAAAGAATGAGAGATTCACTACATTGCCCAGGCCGGCCCTGAATTCCTGGGTTCGAGCTATCCTGTCACCTCAGTCTTCCAAGTAGAAGGGATGACAGTCACACGCGACAACAGCACAAAGCTGGCCACGGAAGCCTGTGCATTGCTACACCAGGTAGAAAGTACCACGTAGCGTTTTACCTGCTGGACCAGGTGACAGTTTACCTTGGCTTTATTTTTCCCAGTGCAAAGCATTTGCCAGGTTTTTACATTTTTTCTTGGTGTCAAATACTGCTCCAAGTTTCCTTGCTTTATCACTTGATTTAACCCCAAAGACTTTGTGAGGTATGAGATTGTTATTTTTCCCATTTTACAGATAAACAAGCCAAGGCTTGGGGCCGGAAAGAGGATTTAGCAGCTAAGAGCATTTACTGCTCTTCCAGAGGCCTGGAGTTCAGTTCCCAGCACCCAAGTCTCGGGCTTACAAGTACCTGTAATTTAACTCCAAGATATCTGACGCCCTCTTGTTGTTTCTGAAGACACACATTCACACACACACACACACACACTCACACACTCATGAATAAAAATAAATATAAGGGAAAAAAAGTTAGCCAGCTGGTGGTGGCACACACCTTTGATCCCAGCACTTGGGAGCCAGAGGCAGGTGGATTTCTGAGTTTGAGGCCAGCCTGGTCTACAGAGAGAGCTCCAGAATAGCCAGGACTGTTTGTTACACAGAGAAACCCTGTCTCAAAAATCTAAGAAAGAAAAAAAAGAAGAAGTTAAGGGAGGTTAAGGCTTAAGAAGGTTTAGTAGTTGGGGATGATGTGCACATCTTGGTCTCAGTATCAACAGGCTGATGCAGGAGACCAGCCTTGGGCTATTGCCAGGATTGTCTCTAAAGAAAAATAATAAAGCAAAGAACCCAAAGACAGAAGTGCTTGAGGCAGATCAAGATGGGAAAGAGTGGCTGTTTTTGTGTCTGGAGATGGAGTAAATGTGATGGTAGCTCTGGGAATGGAGGCCAAGTTCCTTAGACCCTCTGGGGCCCAAGCTCCCTAGCTACAGGCGAGGAGTGTTCCCCACCAAACCGATGTCTCCAGGGAACTGTCCTGTGTCCAGCATTACTTCGGAAAACACTGACCTGTTGTTAAGTAAGCGGACTGGGTCTCTCTACTCACAGGACGTACATTGCCGCACACCTAATCACTGCGCCTACCTCCCAGGACTAACATGATTGGAATGTTCTCTATCCCTCACTCATATCCTTTCTTGCCTCACCTCAAGCTCCATTTCCTCATAGGAGTCTCTCTCAGTTAGTTTCCCTAGGGTGTCAACCAGTGTCGATTCTTTGGCCAAAGTCTGTAGACTTCTTGAGCATGCATACAATATCAGACCTCTTGTTTGCTTTGCTTTGCCCCCTGTCTCTCTGTGTGTCTCTGTGTTTCTCTACCTCTGTCTCTCTGTGTGTATGTGTTTTGTATGTGCATATCTGTGAGCCATCAGATGTCCTGCTCTAGAATTCTCTATCTTAGTCCTTGAGACTCTCTTAGTAACCTGGAGTTAGGCCCCAGAGATCCGGCTGTCTCCACCTTGTGAAGGGCTGAAGTTGATACATACACCCATGACCAAGCCTGGCTGTAGGGATATTTCATTTGTGTTTTAACAAATAAAACTTGCCTGAAGATCAGAGTGCAGAGCTAAGCCACTAAGGCCAGGCAGTGGTGGCACACACCTTTAATCCCAGAATTTGGGAGACAAAGGTAGAAGTATCTCCGTGAGTTCAAGACTGCCCTGGGCTACACAAGATTGATCCAGTCTAAAAGAGAAACAGATCTGGGGCTGGAGAGATGGCTCAGTGGTTAAGAGCATTGCCTGCTCTTCCAAAGGTCCTGAGTTCAATTCCCAGCAACCACATGGTGGCTCACAACCATCTGTAATGAGGTCTGGTGCCCTCTCCTAGCCTGCAGGCATATACACAGACAGATAGAACACTATATACATAATAAAAAAATATTTAAAAAAAAAAAAGAGAAACAGATCTAGGTGGTGGTGGCTCATACCTTTAATCCCAGCATTTGGGAGTCACATACCTTTAATTCCATCACTGGAGAGATGGAGACAGGAAGGGATATGGCTGGACAGAGAGAGGAATATAAGACGGGAGGAGACGGGAACTGAGAGCTGTCTGTGAGCGCTGTCTGGAGGTCTGAGCACTGGTGGAGGTAAGAATCCTCTAGTGGCTGGCCGAGCTGCTTCTCTGACCTTCCAGCACTAACCCCAATATCTGACCCTGAGTTTTTTTTTATTATTAATACCAATTATAATTCGTGCTACACCTGGCTTTTTAGGAGATCCTTGGGACTAAATAAATGGGATGAGACACAGGTAAAGGACTTGGTGTAGCCTTGGCATAGTCAGTGCCAGGTGAAATGCTGTCTTCTCTTGTGACGTGATGTTGATGGTTGTGACTGAAAACCTGTAAGAAGCTCCATCAGTGCCTCCCTCCACTGCCCTTGAGTTGTGTTACAGGTGTGTTGGGTGCTTGCTTAACTGCCACGGCTTAAGACGTGCTGGGTGCCTATTGGCCATGGCTCCTGTCTTCCTGGATGGCAATGTTGTACGATTGGCCATCTCTTGCTATCATCTAACAAGTGGGTTTAAAGTCAAGCTCCATAGCCTGAGCTTCTAACCTTTAACAAAGTCATGCACAAGGCTAGATAGACCAGTGGGTAAAGGTGCTGGTCACCACGCCTGATGACCTGAGTTCAATCCCCAGGGCCCATATGATGGGGGTGAGAATGGACTTGTGCAGACTGTCCTCTGACCTTCACTGATCATTGCAAACTCCAAGCTAGCCTGGGGCCAGCTTCTGCCTCCCAAGTACTGTAATTACAGACATGTATGCCATCGTATCTAATATAAAGAGAAGCTTCTGACTTAGGACTTAACAGTGAAATGGTCTGAGACATTTCCTATCCAATTCTGCGCCCCCTTCCTGCTAGGTCTTGTTTTTGAGATGGAGTCTTACTATGTAGACCCGACTGGCCTTGAACGCACAGGGATCTGTCCGCCTCTGCCTCCCGAGACTGGGGTCAAAGGTGAGCGCTACCACGGCTAGCTCTGTCTCCTCTCTCTTGCATGTTTCCCTGGCGGTCTCCTGGTGCCTGAAACTGCACACTGTCATCCAGAGTCTGCTTCTGGGAGAAACTGACTTCCACTGGCTGAGTCAGCTTTCCGGCCCACGATCAGGGTGTCACGTGGCAGGTAGTGACCTGAGGTCACTTGTCAGAGCACGGAGGCGGTTTATTAAGATCTGGCTGCCACTCTTTCAGGAAGCCAGCCCTCCTCTCCTGTCTAGAGTACCCACACCCTGCTCTTCTCTCTTCCTGGGCCCCTTCTGGTTTTCAACGGTTATCACACTGCCCTGGGGTTTGCTGTTGCTCTTTTGCCCTCTTCCCCTCTGGAAGAGGATGATTTGAAGACAGCTGTCCTGTCCTGCTGACACTCGGGTCCCCAGAACCTAGAAGAGTGTCAGTGTCTGACCATACTCACTAAAAGGACACTGACTTCATCTTTCAGGTATGTTCATATTTAAACAAGCGTGTCACATCTGAATAGCTGTTTGATCCTCATGGATAACATCGAGAGAGGTCTGGCATGGTTCCCCCTTCTTTAGGATCTTCTTGCACTTGCTGTCCTTGGGTCCGGAAGGAGTCCTGAAGTTCTTGGTCGCCACCGCTCTGTGTCTCTTCTAGATCAACAGGACTCATACACACAGAAGAACTTCTTCTTGCTTTGGATGAAGCACTGATATCTTCTGTTTCGTTCATTTTACGAAAGTCTTGGCCCTCCTTCTGTCTCCCAGGTGTGCCCCATCGACTGCATGGCCTACAGACCACACGTATCCCAGGACAGCCGCGAATGTAGCCCATTACATTTGTAAATGGCAATGACATCAGAAGGTTGGCTCCTCCTACAGAGAACTTCTTCAGAAGCCCAAAGCCAAAGCTATCACCCAAGCTTGCTGGCGATTTTGGTAAGGGAAAATATCGGTAGTCCTCTGTGCCACAGTCAAGGGCAAGGCTGCTTTTACTACTTGTGGGCATTTCTACCTGGTTCAGCCGGGTCCTTCAGCTCTCGGCAGTGCAGAAGGTTCTACTGAGAGGCTCCAAAGGGAAGGGCTTAACCGTAACAGGTGGCGCATTTAGGCTTGCTGGAATCCTCATCCGAATGACATCAGATTTAACATATGGACAAAGGCACATGGCATATTAAATGATTTACTGGTGTCACAGATCATTGGCGGGCCTTACCCAAGCCCGCCACCCGTCAGAGTCTACACAGTCAAGATACAGGTAGCTTCAGTTAAACTGGGCCCAGCAGCCTGGGCCTGGTCAGCATCAGCCAGTTAATCTACAATGACACCTTCTTTTCCTACCAGAGGGAGGTTTTGACTTGAACTCCCAGGAGGCCTGCCTTCTTGGAATCCAGATTTCTCTGCTTCAGACTCTAATTTAGCTGGTATTGGACACAGAAGCCTAGAAAAAGCTGAAGCTTGTTTATTTGTTCTTTTATTCCTGGGTTTATAATTTGACCTAATATACTGTATGTCTGTACGTGTGTTGATCTCAAAAAACGTTGGAGCTCGCCTGCTCCAACCATGTTGGCCAGCAGCTGCTAAAGCCATCAGTGATGTTTGCTTCCAGTTACAAAAGAAAACATTCTCTATTTGGGGCCATGTTGTTGTTGTTTTTTCTTCTTCTTCTTTCTTTTCTTTCCTGATTTAAAAGGGAAAATATGGTTCCCAGTAGAGATGGGGGGCTGCCCCCTCCCCTTCTTAGCTCAGAATGGCTAAGGAGGCTTTGCGGCACACCTGCCTCCTCCTTTTTCTGATATTCCCCCTCCGTCTCTCCCTCTGGAAGCATTCTTAGGGGCTTTGACTTGCATTATGAGAGCGCTGGGCAGGTTTCTCTCTCTTCCCTGGGGATGCTAGTTTATAGCCCAACATCTCGCTCCACTCCGGAGTGTCTTTAGCTAAGGCAGGTTGTGTCCCTTCATCAGGTGCACTGCTGAACGACTGCTGATGGGAACGAGAGGACATGAGGAACTCTAACCTCTGACCAGAGACTCTGAAGGAAAGCGTGACCCTGACCTTGCTCCCGTGCTTTGGAGAGGCCATTTGGGAGAAAAATTCACTTCATATGAATCTGAGAGTTGCTCTGGCTGGGATGGAGGAAAGCCATATGGCGAATGTGGGGTTCACAAATGTTCGCTTTTGAGAAAATGCTTTAAGCAAGAGTCATCCATGGATCCATGGTAAGTAAGTATAGTTTAGAAGGCTGGCCTGTGAGCAAGGGAGGCAAGGAGTGCAGGAGAAGGGAAAAGAGAACGGAGCAGCTGGGAAACAGGCCTGTGAACCCCCACCCCCACCCCAGATGGCAGAGGCCTCAGAAGTTACTGGAAGACAGAGATACTTTGGAACTGAGAAGCAAAAGCCTTGTGACCAGCTAACAGAAAGAAGGACTCCTTTAAAATGACAACAGAGGTTCGGTGGTGGAGGCACTCGGGAGGCAGAAGCTGGTGGATCTCTGTGAGTTCCCGGCCAGTCTGGTCTACAGAGAGAGTTCCAGGACATCCAAGACTACACAGAGAAACCCTGTTTCAAAAAAAAAAAAAAAACCCAAAATAAATAAATAAAAATAAAGATTATAGGTTTACAATTCCACATGAGGCCTTGTTTCAATGTCTTTTTCTTTCTTTCACAGTTGTTATACATTTTTTAAAAAATCCCATATATGTATTTTGTTAGACTTATACCTAAATATTTTTGTTTTCTTTTTTGGTGCTGTTGCAAATGGTACTAAAAATAAAAAAAGAAGAAAAAAAGAAAATTCCATTTGCTCATTTTGGCCTTTAGGAAACAAGAATAAGAGAAAGGACTTTTCTTAGCTGCCATTATGAGCTTGTCCTAGTGAAACTGAAAGCCAGGGCAGGATGGGTCAGTAATCACAGCTGTCTCCCACCCCAGCCCCTTCCTCACTGTCTGCGATCCCACCCCTTCCCTCGCTCTGTAAATGTTTGTTTATTTCATTTGACAGGATTAATGTTATGTTAAAGAAGAGTAGGGGCAGGGAGGGAGCTATGGAGAGAAAAGGAAGTGCAGAGATCCCAACGTTAAGATCTCTAGAGGATTGACACTTGTTTGAGCTGGGGTGCTCTGTGTGTGTGTGTGTGTGTGTGTGTGTGTGTGTGTGTGTGTGTACATGTGCGCACGAGCCAAAGTTAGCGACAAGGGAGGGCAGGCTTCGGGCAGGTGGCTAAGTCAGAAACCCTGAGAAGAGTAAGCATAGGCTGGGTGGGGTTACATGTAGCCATCCTCCAGAAGACCACAGACATTAGGATCAACGTTCTTTTGGGGCCAGGATTAAATCTCTGGTGTTCCACCATCATTCCCACGCAGGAACAATGGGGCTGGAAATGTGTGTTCGGGAGACATGGGCTCGGCTGCTCGAGTTTGCTGATTTTGAGGGGAAGGGGCAGATTCCATGCCCAACCCTTGACTCCATAGTGCCTGCCAGGCTTCCTGGGAAATGGGGCTGAATAAATATATAGCAGATTGGAGAATCTGCAAAGAATCTCACAGAGTTGGTTCCCAGCACCTAAGTGCCAGAGCAGGGGCCAGGGTAGACCTACACCTTGGAGAGACAAGTCAGTGACCAAGGTAGCTGGAAGCCATGGATCGGCCTTCTTGGACTGTGGATGAGCTCTGCAGGCTCACTCCTGCTCTCCTCCTGAGGCATGACTGCTGAGCTGGCAGGTGAGCTGAGGAACTGAGGGCTGACAGGAAGTGGCTCAGGATCTTTCCTGTCGGGTTCTTTTGGATTATGTACTCCAAGATGCCCGTGAGCTATGGTGAAGGCTGTACCCTTTGTTTGTACCCTCTGTACCCTCCAGAGGCACAGGAGCTCCTGGAAGGTGGCTGCCGGGGTGTACCCTGGGAAGCCAGAGCTAGGGCCTTAGATGGAGTAAAAGTTTCTGAGCCTGGAAAGACAGGTCAGAAGTTTCTCATCAGGTAACAAATACAGAAGGACCCAATAGTAGGAGGGTGGCAATCAGTTAAGAAATTAGGAAGGCCGGGTGATGGTGGCGCACACCTTTAATCCCTGCACTTGGTGGGGGTGGGGCAGAGGCAGGTGGATCTTTGTGAGTTCGAGGCCAGCCTGGTCTACAAGAGCTAGTTCCAGGATAGGTTCCAAAGCTACAGAGAAACCCTTTCTAAAAAAAGAACAAAAATCAGAAAGTCAAAAACAAACAAACAAAAACAAGAGAGAGAGAGAGAGAGAGAGAGAGAGAGAGAGAGAGAGAGAAAAGAAAGAAAGAAAAAAAGTAAGGGAAACACGGGGCATATGCCTTTCACTCCAACATTTGGGAGGCAGAGACAAGCAGATCTCTGGGGTTCAAGGTCAGCCTGGTCTACAGAGTGAGTTCCAGGAAAGCCAGGACTGCTACACAGAGAAACCTTGTCTGGAAAAACAAACAAACAAAAAAGAAATAAAGGAAATGATACCATTTGATCAGAGGTCAGATTTCAGATTTTCACTCTGTGCCCCAAGCAAATAATTTGTAGAAGTTTCTCACCTGGACATTCTTCTCACCGGAGAAGTGATATACTGTGTTTATTTCTCCGCAGTTCAAGAAAAATCTCCTCTCTCCCTCTCCCTCCTTCTCTCTCTCTCTCCCCCACTCTGTGTGTGTGTGTGTGTGTATTTGTGTGTGTGAAGGGTTTGCTAGCTCTATCTTACAGAAGAGAAAACCCACACTCGTTAAGATTAACTACTTGTCCAAAGACACCTAATAAAGTGATCATAGACTTAAGGTTCAAATTCACATTGTCTCAAGTTCTGAGGTCTTTCTATAATGCATTGCTTATTTAGGATACAGGAGAACACAGTTTGGATGGAATGGTGAATTTCCTGCTGGAGCAACAGAGATGATGTGAGGGGACATTGGAATTTTGAGACAGAAGGATCTAGACTGACCAGAAGGTTAAGCAATCTCTAAGAAAGTAGATTCAGTCTGTCCTGAATTCTCAGGTCTAAGGCTTTGTGGAGGGCACAAATTATCTTTGGTGAAAGACAAATCGTTAGAGGACTCACAAACAGGAGGGCTAACAGACAAGCACTACTCCTCATTAGGAGCATTCCTGGGCAGATTAGACAGCAGCTTGCTGGGGGTGGGACAGGTCCTAAGAGTTGTGTCAGGACCATTCCTTAAGTAGTTCAGACAGAGTTGTGTGTCTCAGGTTAACCTTGAACTCAGTGTGTAGCCTAGGACGACTTTGACCTTCCCATTGGTGTTCCGTCCATCCTGTCTGGTCTATGCTCTTTTGGAGTCTGAACCCAGGGTCTTGTGCATCCTAGACAAGTGCTCTACCCCCTGAACGACATCCTCAGTCCCTAGATGAGATCATTTTTAATTTGCTTTTTGTTTTGAGACAGGGCCTCACTTGTAGCCAAGACTTGGTTGAACTTATGATCAGCACAAAATGCCTTCATTTTACTATGGAGATGACAGGTGTGTTCCACATCTGGTTCCTGAGTTCCATTTTAGATATTTTAGAAAACATTTTTAAATTTTATTTTGGCAGGCGTGGTGGCATATACCTTTAATTACAGTACTTAGAAGGCAGAAGAGACTGATCTCTGTTGTTAGTCTGAGGCCAGTCAGGCCTGCGGAGAGAGTTCAAGGTTAGCCAGGGCTACACAGAGAAACCCTGTCTCAAAAAAAAAAAAAATGTGCACTACATGTGTGAAGGTATCCAATTAGGCCAGAAGAGGGTGCTGGATCCCCAGAGCCGGAGTTACAGGTGGTTGGGAGCAGCCTGATGTGGGAGCTGGGAATTGAACCTGGATCTTTCGCAAGAGCAGCAAGTGCTCTTTTAACTACTGAGCCGTCTCCCCAGAGCTTAGGTTAAAAACAAACAAGCAAACAACAAAACCAAACCTATGTAATTAGTCTGGAAATATATCTCAGTAGTGGATTTCCAGCATGCAAAAAACAAGCAAAACAAAACGAAATCCTAGGCATTTCATATCAATCCAGATGGTTGTTTTATCTATCCACACATATATGTGTGTACATATGCATGCCGTGGAACAACCTTTATGTAAATGTGAATATGCATTACTCTCATTGGTTAATAAAGAACTGACTGGTCAATAGCTAGGCAGAAAAGGTTAGGCAGGATTTGCGGACAAAAAGAGAGTGTGCGGTAGAAGAGAGCAGAATTGTAAGCCAGACTCAGAGAGAAGCAAGATGAACCTGATGTGCTGAAAAATGGCACTGCCTCGTGATAGAGCGTAGATAAGAAATACAGGATAATTTAAGTTGTAAGAGCTGGTTCGTAATAAGCCTAATGGCCAAGCATTTATAATTAATATTAACTTCTGCGTGGTTATTTGTGAACTGGCTGGTAGTCCTGACGGAAAATTCTACCTACATATGCATGTATATATTTCCAGAAAATAAATATTGGCTTGAATATAGAGAAATAGGAAATCCTGTCCCCACCTACCCCCTTTTTGTTTTCTAAAATAGGGTTTCAAGTAGTCCAGGCTTCTCTCAAACTTTATATAGTTGAGAATGACCTTGAACCCTTGGTCCGTTGTCTCCACCTCCAGAGTACTGGGATCCTAGGCATGTGCTTGCCACAAGTCTAGAACTCGGGTACTTGTTGATGAGATATCAAATGGCGCACCAGCTGTGGAGATGGCATGGCATCTTCTTAGCTGCCGTTAAGTGTCTCTGGTGACCTAGCACATCCTCTTCTGTATGCACACAGAACACAATGTGGACGCTCGTATCGCTCTCTGACACCAACGTTCATTGCAGCATCCTTCACAATAGCCCAGAGGGAGAGGCTCCCCAAGTGTCCACTGAGAGACAATGAATGAGCAAAATATTCTATATGCCCAGTGGAGTATGAGTCATACCTAAAAGGATGAAATTTAGACGCAGCTACAACATGGATAAACCCGGAAGACATTCTGCTGTGTGAAACCCACTGGAAATGACAGGACAAGCATTGAGTGACTCCCCTCAAATGAAGTTTCTGGATTAGTCACTGTCACGGATACAGAGAGGAGCAGGAGGAGCAGCAAGCTACAGCTTAAGGGCTGTATAAAGATGGATGATTAGAGACCACAGCTGTATAACAGTGTGCACTGAATTCTACTGAATTGTGCTTAAAGCCATTAGAATAATACATTTTATATAATAATTCTTTACCATAGTATAGATACTTTACCGTAGTATAAGCATGTATAGAACATTGAGAACTATAAAGCATTGACAACATTAATGAAAGA